TTTATGTTAAGATGATCCACAAGTCATTTAATGATGGTACATGTAGCAAAGCTAGTGTTTTGATAGTCTTTAATTATTATACCATTTTAGTCTCGAGTCTTTTTAATCCTTTTCAGGCACCTCAGCACCAAAGGTCATTTTATCCGTTAGGATCTGGAATGAACTCCTATAACAGAGGCTACCCACAAAGTGGTCTCAATCAAGGTGCTGGGTTTTTAAGTGCGTCAGTTCCTAGTATAGGAGCAAACAGTTGGGGCTGGCTACCTTTTGATAGTAAAAGACAACGTGGAAGAGACAGTGACATCTCTCTATGTGGTTGTAGTAGTGCACTTGATATCCTTAGTGAGCAAAACCGAGGGCCAAGGGCCTCAAAACCTAAGAATCAAATCACAGCCGAGAATTATTCTTCGGTTGATGATAATAATAACAAAACTTCAACGAAGATCAAGGATAATTCATTTAACTGGTCAGATTTCACTACAGATTACAAGGATGCTAAGTTTTTCATAATCAAGTCATACAGTGAAGATAATGTTCACAAGAGTATCAAATATGGCGTCTGGGCTAGTACACCTAACGGGAACAAAAGGTTAGACACCGCTTATGATGAGGCCATGGAGCACCAAGACAGTTGCCCAGTGTTTCTCTTCTTTTCGGTATTTACATTTAAGAGAAAAAAACTGTATTTACTATTTACTTTGTGTCATCCATATGGGTTAAATATAAGTTACTCCATTGTTGCAGGTGAATGGTAGTGCTCAGTTCTGTGGGGTTGCAGAAATGGTTGGACCTGTTGATTTTGACAAGAGTGTGGATTACTGGCAGCAGGATAAATGGAGTGGGCAGTTTCCTGTCAAATGGCATAGTATCAAAGATGTTCCTAACAGTCAGTTCCGCCACATCATACTTGAAAATAATGATAACAAGCCTGTGACTAACAGTAGAGATACTCAGGAGGTAAAGTTTCAAATGACTATTATAAAGGACAGAGTTCATTCATTTGATAATTCTGTACCAAGGTTCTTTTCACCTACAATACTGGTAGTCCTTAACTGTTGTGTTCTGAATCGAGAACCATTGATATATATGATATGCTCCTCACCCACGCCTGTCTCCTTTCCTCAGATGCAATTGAGGATATTATGCTATCGTTTAACCGTTTTACTACCGTGCTACAAATCCTAATTAGATTAAATATATTTTATGCAGTTTCTGATTTCTTCATGCTTCTTTGTACTTAGTTTTGAGGATTTAAAAGATATTATCGCTTGAAGATATTCCAGTTACAACAAATCTTTTATTTGTGTGGACATCAAATTTTGCAGGTGAAACTGGAGCAAGGACTTGAAATGTTGAGCATCTTTAAAAGTTATGAAACCGATATCTCAATCCTGGATGATTTTGACTTCTATGAGGACAGGCAGAAGGCCATGCAAGAGCGTAAGGCTAGACAACAAGCTACCCTCATGTCTGTAGGGGTTGTAGGAGAAAGTGAGCATAGAAATGCTGTTACATTATCCAATGATTTCATAAAACAGATGTCCAAGAGCTTTGCTCAAGTTGTCTGCTTGGATGATGGTAATAAAGAAGGCACTGGTATTGAGAGAACTAATTCCGCGTCTGATGGCTCTAAAGGTGCAAGGGTTAAACTTGAAGATGTTATCACAGCAGCAGCCTCTTCTGCCCAGGCGAGTTAGGTATAAGCATTCTGGGCGGCCTTTGTTTTGTGTATGCGACACAAACATCTTGTTCACCTTTTTTATTATTATTATTATTATTATTATTTTACTTCATGCGAAGTTGGATCTCTCATTTGATGTGTTTCCGATGGAGCGTACCATAATTCGAACAAGTTCTCACAAGTTTTATGGGGCTGATTTGCATCATATGTAAAATATTTGCCTTGTGAGTTTAACTGTAGTCATTAGTTTTCTTTCTCTGTCTTCTACCTTTTGTTTTGTAAAGTTGTTTAAGGCATTTGAATAAAGAATAACAGCAAATGGTATTATGCAATCTTTTGCCTTCTTTCACTTCCCTCTTAGCATACTTCATTTATTATCAGGATGTGTGGTGTTGGCTGCAGAATATTAGTTGCCATACTATCATACTGATGTTATTTTGGAAGTGTCTCTAAAAGTCTAAACTTGTTTTCAAAGTTAAAAAGAGGTGGCTTAGGTTCCAAGTAAAAACTCGGAGGAGTTGAATCTATGTTTATCTCAAATTACAGCCTCAGCCCCCAGGTCGAAGAGTAGAGGACCCTCACCCATTCCTCTTATCTTTCTATGACAGGGACAGCTACTTGGTTGAATATTCCCAACCAGTGGAAATTACTTTGCTCCAAATATTAGCTCTAACCCTCCACACTTTGAATTTCTGGAATCTTTCTTTCTTTTTCATATCTATTCTCTCTTCTAGTTTCAGAAATTAACAATATCAATTGACCTTTTATTTGTTATTTGAAGACAATATTCTACACCCATTTTTCAGATTTGCGTCTTCATTGGGGGCTTATTTAGTAATTTTCCTTATCAATAAAAGAGGAAAATCCTAAAAGAAAAGTGTATCCTAAAAAAAAACTATTTATTCGAAATAATAATTAATAAATTATTGTTATTTTCTTTTCGTTTGAAATGTTAATTTTAAAAAACTTGATCCATCTTAATGCATTAATTTTTATTTCCAAAAGGTAGATTACAATGAGAAGAAATTCACTTAAAAAAAAAGCTGTTTATAATCTAATTTCAGATTCAAACCATTGTTTAGGAAAGCTTAGATAGGTGATGGGTTTGAGACCTTACCCGCTCTGCAGCCACCTGCCCCATATCCGCCCGGCCACTAACTATTTACCATATAAATTTTAGACCATTATAAATTTATACATAATTTTAGAGACTATTCTGTAAATTTTAAGATTTTATAGGATATTACTTGTAATTTAACCTAATGTTAGGTATAAATATTTTTAGAACTAATATAGTTGTTTCTACTGTTTCAAATTGACGGGTATGGACTGGTACAGAGGATGGTTGGTGAGTATCTAGTTGAGAAGTAGGGATTTAAAAATATATCCGCATGAGCGGATGTGGATTTAAAAATTTTGCCCCTTATAAATAATGGGTAAGTGGTGAATATGAAAAATATTATGTGGGTATGAGATGAGAAAAGAGGTATCCACATCCGTCCCATCCGTTTGTCATCCTTAACCATATGTAGTAGCATCTTAGTCTTCTATTGCACTATCGAGCAATCTAGTCTCGATAGTCTACCCTTAGGGTGCGTTTGGATTACGGAATGTAAGATTATCAGTGAATAGATTACCGCGGAAATAAATTACTGGGAATGTTGTATTTTGTGTTTAGTTCGTTTAGCAGGAATGTAAGATTATATAGTGTTTGGTTAAAGGAATAAAAGATTATTGAAATATATATTTACTAAAGTATCCTTATTATATATTTGTTTTTTTAACAAGTTGAATTTACTATAATATTACTATAATTAATTTATATATTTTCTTTAAAAAATTAAATCATAAAATTTATATAATTTTTTTTACAAAATTAAAAAGATAAATAGGTTTAATGAAAGGGTAAAATTTTATTTTAACCCTGAACTTCATATAAAATTTAATTATGAACTTTTTTATAAATATAAAATAGTTTAAGGATAAATTTATAATTTAACCTTCGTAGAATTTTTTTTATTCAACGACAGAATAAAGATATTTTTGAAAAAAAAATTAAAGGCATTTTAATCTAAAATGTCGGTAATCCAACAATACCTACGTATTCACATTCCCAGTAATATACCCCAAAATACTATTGTGGTAATAAAAGATTACCGAAAAATAAGATTACTTACCAGTTAATGTCATTCCCCCAGTAATCTAATATTACGTAAACCAAATACGCTCTTATAGACTTGTCGTTTTAATTGAGGCTTATCTAGCTTATACCTTCTATTGTCAAAATTAATTTATTAAAATAACTTCTGGTTACGGAATCACATGATTAAGCTTCTGCTTCTTCATATTTGAAAAAGAAAAGGAACAAAATATTTGGATCAGCTCACGAACTGATGATTGACGTGCTGTTTGCATATAGGTTCCACCTGAATTAGATATGATGAGTGGCAATACTCTTCCAGCAGTCTCTGCATCGATGCCCACTCTTGAACCTGTTAATGGTGAACCCAGGGAGAAAAGGTTATCAAGAATACCATCTAGAAGGACTGTAGCGAAAGTTTGCTTGTTGCTGGGGTGTGCTCTGTCTGTCTCGTGGTCATGCTGGCCTGGGTGCTAAAGTTGCAATGGCTTTCATCTTAACAAAACTGAGAAAGGGTTGTGATTCATCAAGCCAAAGCAGGCGAACTCAAGGAACCTGACATTGTTTCATCTCTGCAACTATTTTTGATGGTTTTTAATGAGGCTTGTTATTATACATAGGTTTATGACCACTTAGTTAAGTTTAACTACAGTAGGAAATAAAATGGTGTAAGGGTGGAGGTTATCTGATGGGAAACCCAAATGTTATTCTATAATTATTTGTTTTCGATATTGTAAATATACACGAAACCCAGATGTGCTTTTTTCTTCATCTATGATAATCACTGCAGTTCATGAACTTTAAGCTGCAACATACCAATTACAGCTTTGTTTTTGCTTCAATAGCCTGACCTAAAAGGGAAAGGCTTTACGCTCTGTACAAAGAACTTGGAATAGGAGAAAGCCGAACCTTATTTTCGCATCCCAGTTCTTTTAACAAAAATCTTACAATTTAATGCGTGTGAATCACGGAATTGCGTGTTAATCATGCAACTAATGAACACGATTCCTTATATATATGGTCTATAGTTAGTTTAATCCTCATTTGAATCATTTTCACTTTCAAAATAGCTTATAATTATGGCATCGGTTAGATTTATTAGGGCAGTGTTCCTATGCAATTTTAGTGTGATCTTAAATCACGAGAAAATAGGGAAAAGGAAAGGAAAAATGAAAATAAAATAAAAAACTTAAGAATTGAGAAAATTTCATAGGTCAGCTTAGAGAAAGGGTGGAAGTAGTAATCAAAGGTGACAGTTAGAGAGAGCTACAAAAAAGTGTTACAAATTCCCGGAAAACGTTGAAAGGCTCTAATGAGTTATTTATCCTCGGCTTTCGCTCTTTGCAATCACTTGTACTTTTCTCTTCACCAAATTTAGCAACCCCTTCGACGTATTTTAAAAAACAAACTGAAAATTAAAAAACTTAATCACCTTCAATATGAAACAGAGAAGGCCTAGACCACTCCGAAACAGTTTATATCATTTTTCCCCTTTTAGATGTTTCTTCTCTCTCGCTCCAACTCCTTTTTGTTTCTGCTTTTGATATTAGCTTAAGTGTTTCAAAGGATCATAACCCTTTTTCCCTCTGTCTTTCCTTGGCAATTTAGCATAGGAACATGCATTGTTTCCTCGTAGGATACTTGGTTCTTTCTCTATGGACCTTCATTTCATTGGTCCATGCAGAGACCAACGACAAAGATGGTACGTCTGTCATTTCTGTTCTATGTGCAATGTTAGATTTGAATGCGTATTTCTAATGATGTTTTATGTATGGCAATCATCATTTTTGCTTTTATGCTATATACTGTATACATGTATGTTGCTCATGAAATTTGAAGGGAAAAAAAGGTCCACATCACCACATTAACATTCGTGCGTATGTATGTTTGTGTACATATGTGTTCTGAAAGTTGTTAACTGTATTTGGTAGAAAATGCCCTTAATGTGATGTTTAAAAGCCTAAATGCTCCATCCCAACTAAGTGGTTGGAGGCTAAATGGAGGGGACCCTTGTGGCAATTCCTGGGAAGGGATCACATGTTCAGGCTCAAGAGTAACTCAGATGTAAGGTTTTCCCTATATTATGTCTCTTAGAATAAGCTTGGATTCTTGTATTTTATTTTACCGGGTTTAAAATTTGCAGAAAATTATCAAACTATGGACTCAATGGAGAGTTGGGCTACGGGCTATCAAACTTGACTTCACTCACTTCCATGTGAGAATTTGCTTATACAAATAGGCTTCTTCTTCTTTTGTGTTTGTGTGTGTCATCTCTGTTTCCTTTGTGTTCCTATTTTTTTCTTCTGTTAGAGAACATAATCTCTGAAGGGAATGCATTGTTTTTGTGATAGTACAGTGACATGAGCAAGAACAACCTCAATGGTCAAATTCCATATCAACTACCTCCCAATGTTGTTAAAATGTAAGTCTCCTTTTCCTCTCTTGTTCATGACATTGGAATTATATTGTTTCGACTATCCATTTTTGTTCAAGTATTTGTTTGACATATGAAGATGCGGATATGATCTCTAAGAACTTTATAGACACATGAAAAAAGAAAAACCGAAAAAAATCTTACCGTATCACATCGACACAGACCCGAATTAAGAGTAATGTAGCATAGGTCTGCATATACAGATCCATATCCTAATTTCATTTGCTTGATTTATCACGTGCAGAAACCTTTCTCGGAATCAATTTACCGGTGACGTGCCTTACTCGATATCTCAAATGACCAAAGTCGAAGACATGTAAGTCAAAATAATTGTTTTGATCTTTCTATTTTCATTATAGTTTTTCACCATGTCTGAATATTTGGTTGGTTTCTGAAGAAATCTTAGCAATAATCAACTCGATGGAGAGTTGAGTGATATGTTCGCCAAAGTGAAAAACCTAAAATCATTGTAAGTAAATGATTTCCGCAAACCCCTCTTTCTATTTACCAAGTTTTTCACTATACATATACTTATATCGCATTCTCGTCGGAATCGGAATCGGAGTTACATAGCTCTAGAGTGTAGACGTAGTGGTTACTGTACGGCTAATCTATGAGTTCATATGCAGTGATCTATCAAACAACCAGCTGACTGGCAGGCTGCCGAATACTTTTGCATACCTCAAAAAATTAAACACTTTGTGAGTGCGAAATTATACTAGTTGTTATTTGTATGATTGTATGTATCTATGCTCTGTCAAGAGCATTGTTGCTAACTTTTGTTCTCGATCACTTGTACAGGCATCTGCAGGACAACCAATTCACCGGATCACTAAATGCCATTCGCGACCTTCCCATTGAAGATCTGTACGTGACCACCATATAAACCTTGTCGAAAACAATGGTTTTTTATTCTTCTTTTTTCACACATTTTTTTCTGTTTTTCAATGGAAGGAATGTTGAAAACAATCGATTTACAGGATGGATTCCTAATGAGTTGAAAGGCATTCGTAGCCTGAAGTGAGTGTCCTACAAAAAGTTCTTTGTTTATTGTTGCAGTGGTGTAAAAGTTGTTTATTGACTTGTGATATGTATGTTTTGGAAGAACTGGAGGAAATTCGTGGTCGACCGGGAAGGCTCCGCCTCCACCGCCTGGTGTAGTCCACCGGCATCCTAAACCCGATGAAGAAGAAGAAGAGGACAATGACGATGGCGGGAAGAAGAAATCTAAACTTGTTCGGAATATAATAATTATAGCCGCGTCATGTTTTGGTGTACTTTTGTTGGTAGCTGGTCTTTGTGCAGCAATGACCTCAAGGCGAAAGTCTTCTCCCCCATCCTCACAGTTTGCCGATGAAGAGAAAAATGCCGGGCAAAAAGGGACTACTCCGTTCCAATCCAACGAGTTAACCGCTGCACCCTTTGTCGGCACTGTAAAAGAATCAAAAGGTAATTAATCCATGCAAGCATATATGTTTGTTGCAGGCTTGCAGCTACTCCAATACTTGTGCAATGAAAAAATTCATGTTTTACATCAATTGAACTGACTGTATATGATGTGTGATGGTGACAGGTTTAAAAACAATTGAATCAGGTGTCATATTCGATCCACCACCTCCAGAATATCCTCTGGCAGTGGAGCTTAAGCATTCCGGTTCAGTTTCGGGTCGTCCGTCCAGTGTAACTGAGCCAGTACGCCTCCTGAAAGCTAGAGGAAGCACCTCTGCTTCTGTTGTAGCATTTTCTTTACCGGATTTACAGAATGCAACCGGTAATTTCGCACCGAGTCACCTCCTGGGCGAGGGTAACATTGGACGTGTTTATAGGGCTAAATGTGTAGATGACAAGGTACATTGCCAGCTCTCTCTTTTTTCCCTTTTTCTTCGTTTCCTTGTAGTTATTTGCGCTTTCATACATGTGTATATACAAATTCGTGAAAGGTTTTAGCAGTGAAAAAGATAGATTCTGCACTTCTACAAGGGGAGAAGCCAGAGGGGTTTTCAGAAATTGTCGAAAACATCTCAAAGCTTCACCATCCCAACATTGCCGAACTGGTTGGGTATTGCTCAGAGCAGGGGCAGTATCTGTTAGTTTATGACCATTACAGGAATGGCTCAATTCATGAGTTCCTACACGTATCAGATGATTTCAGCAAGCCCCTCACTTGGAATACTCGACTCAGTATTGCTCTAGGTGCAGCAAGGGCTGTTGAGTAAGTAGAAATACATTCATCAGCTATACTTCATAACAACATTCAAGTCATCCAATATTTTTAATCCAATGGTGAGGATTGGTTTGTCCAGGTATCTCCATAAAGTTTGCTCTCCACCTATAGTTCATAAGAACATCAAGTCATCCAATATATTGCTTGATGCTAAACTCAATCCTCACCTATCCGATTACGGTATGGCACACTTCCATGAGGTTCGTATGTTCTTCACTCGAAATTTAGGTATGTCGGAAGCTGTTTCAGCATTAGTTATTCAATCATAAAGATCGTTCTGATCGGTTTCAGCGCACGAGCCAAAACCTGGGAATGGGATATAATGCTCCAGAATGTATAAGCCCTTCGGCCTATACGCTAAAGAGTGATGTTTACAGTTTCGGAGTGGTGATGTTAGAACTGCTGACCGGTCGAAAGCCCCTGGACAAGTGAGCCTAAACCAAAATCAATACGAATCTAGTAACGTCTGTGCTATAACTCGATTATTTTTGTATGTTTGCAGTAAAAAACCAAGATCAGAACAATGCTTGGTGAAATGGGCGAGCCCTCAGCTTCATGACACTGAGGCACTGGCAGTGATGGTCGATCCCGCCTTGAGGGGACTGTACCCTCCGAAATCGCTCCCTCCATTTGCTGAAATCATCGCCCTCTGCGTAAAGGTGGTGCCGAATGATGCATACCGATATTGTTTATGTGCTCGTCTTCGAAATGTCGTGTATAACAATTGTTTTGTGTTGTGTATGTCTGCTTCAGTCGGATCCGAAGCTACGGCCAACGATGTCGGAGGTGGTGCAGTCATTGGTACAATTAGTACAACAATCGAACAGGAACATGCGAGATGAACTTTCAACTTCTCGCCAGGAAGAGGACGAAGAATGCTCGGTAATCGTTTGATTCATATGTACAATAAAAGAACAAATTCTAGCGGATATGTGGTGAAGAAGATGTTTTCCCCTTTTCATGCCTTCATTCTTCTGAGTTTTCACTGAGTTTTCATATGAATCTGTTCTTAGTAACATTAGTAACTTAGAGTACTTAGTGCGTTCCTCTATTTCCTTCAGTAATTAAAGCAATTTTATTTTCCAACAATTTAGTAATACTCGTAGTGTGTAATTTTATATAAAATCGTCAAATTTTTTTAAATTAGATTTATTTAATTTCCCAAATAAGATGCTCTTATTTTACACCAATTAAAAATGATAATTTTATTCGTCATTGTTGTTGTTATTATTATTATTATTAGATTTTATTTTAGTAAATAGATTTTGTCATACCTATAGTGTGACTGAAAAAAATAATTTATATAAATATTATATTTATTAAAATTTATATTATGGATGAAATAATAAAATTTTATGGGTAAACTATCTATTTGATCACCCACCTATTTTTTATTTTATGTTTTGGTCACCCAACAATTATTATCTTTTAAATCATACCTAACGTTATGTTTTAGTTTTGTATTAGTCACTAACCATTAAAAATCAATGGTGATGCTAATATGACATTTTTTTAAACTAGTTTTCAATGTTGGAGTTATGATAATACGTTAGCATCACCGTTAATTTTTAATAGCGGATAATCAGAACATAACTTAAATATAAAGTTAAGTATGATTTTGAAAAATAAATTATACTTGGGTGACTAGAACATAAACTAAATAATAAGTGAATGACAAAATAAATAGTTTACCCATAAATTTATATTTTATTAGAGCTGTATATATTAGAATTGTATCTAGAAGTATATATCAACATAATTTTCTATCGTAACCCATTTATATTTTAGGCATATACCATTTTTAGTGTCTAAAGTATATCTCAAAATATAATTTGGTGTTTAAAGAATATTTTTATTAATAATAAGTGTCTAATATTTTTTCCGTTATATTATTAGGTACCTATTGTTATATTTTTTTAATTTCTATTTTTAATAATAAAAATACTATTTAAAAAATCCAAACTCCCACATCATCCCTCTTCCTCTCATCCCCCACCGTCGATGGCGAAGGGACACCACCGATCAGGTTTTGTTTAGATCAGATCGAGAAAAGAAAGGAGACATGCTCTGCTACTCTTCAGAGTAGGTTAGATTGGTAAAGAAGGGTGATTTGCTCCACTGCTCTTTAGGGTAGGCCAAATATGCAAATCAAACATTACATATAGTCAATGTATATCTGTAGATTAAAAATATCATACCCGAAGGTCATCATTTAGAAACTCCTTAAAAATTGATTTATTTCTTTTGTAAAATTTCATCCTAGATTCGATTGATAACTATAATCTAGTGATGAACTTCTTGACTTCTCAAATCCTTCATCTTTAAATTTGAATTCTATTCTTGAAGTTTAATTGTCATGAGTCCTCAGTTTTCTCATAAACCTGTATAAATGATCATCTTGAATGTGTAGATTGCATGTATGAAAATAATGCACTCATGAATACGGTAATGTGATTCATGCAAAAAGTCTTCATGAGAGGTCAGAAGTTTGAATGAATGTGGTAATGTGATTCATGCAAAAAGTCTTCATGAGAGGTCAGAAGTTTGAATGAATGCAGTAATGCGATTCATGCAGTAAGTTCGAGTATGACTTCCTTCCGGTGGTTGCGGTCAAACAAATCGGTTGGTGTATGCTCTTTTTCTTTGTCTTTGTCTTTGCCTATGGCATCAAGTTCCTAAACTTTCAAAGGGATAGATAACTATCAACTTTGAAGACATACATGTAAGTTGTAGGATAGGGTGACCGGCTGACAGGCATACGATGCTCTCACGTCGTGCCGCAGACTGCCAACATGATACAATAGTACATGATATAAGGATTAAGATTGGTACGATGCTAACGATGAAAATCATCTAATGAATTATGTGTAAACTTATTCACTTCTAATCAATAAATCAAATATTTTACTTTTGGAGTACTTTCACTTTGATCATTGAAATTTTGAATTTTTATTACGATCATTTTCATCCGCTATTGTTTAAAAAATATTGACGCGTTTAGAAAATCTCTTAAGTTTTTTCTTCCAAATTGGTACTTCATTTTGTTGCCATTCTTTCTATCAATGTCTACATCCACACCCACACCCACTGATAGCAATGGACAATAAACATAAAAAAAAAAAATCAAAGAAGTAGAGAGAGAGAGAGAGAGAATTACTATCATGGCCTTGGCGAATTTACTGAATTAACATTGAAATCATCCCAAAAAGTTTCTATCAATGTCGGTCAATTTCAATTATGAAAAGATTTTGTTTAATTAAAAGATTAACATAATTGGAAGAGATCATTCCAAGATGTTGCTATTTAATGAGTGAGTATTGAGATGATATTAGTTTAATTTACTTAAATATGTACACTATCAATTATATAAATTTAATGATGTTTACTTTTTCTAATTAATAATGAACTTTAATGTTATTAAATAAAGTAAAAATATATCAAAAGTAAAAAAAATAAAGGTAAATTATTCATATGAATAGAAAATTTTCTCAAAACGAACGACACGTTGACCAACTAATTAAGGATGAAATACGAACATATAAAAAAACGTTTAAAATTTGATCAAACGACTAACATAAAAAAATATCAAAGAAAATAATATTCCTTTTTTATAGAACGAGATCACAGCCTTCACCATTTGCTTCATAATTCCTCCACTGATCAAGGACAGAGAAGAACACAAGTCATAAACTGCATAAATACAAAAATGGTTTAAACCGTCCAAATTAATAGAGTGCAAAAAAATGCTTAAAATTTGAAGGATGGCCTTGGATTTCTCGTCACCCACAGCTCAGGTTCTAAACCACAAAATCTTGGTCCTATACGACAGAATATAGCATCTTGAACCCAAATTCACCAACTTTGGACCCTCTCCCTTCAATCTTTTTGCTTATCAGTACAAAAATCCTCACCAACTCTTTCATTCTTGGGACTTTACGCCAAACGCATCCTGGTGTGGCGTTTGTCCCCTGATTTTCTTCTTCAACTCTCTTTCATCCCTCACATTGTAAGGGAAAGAAAGAAAGAAAGAAAGAAAATGTAAGGGAAAGAAAGAAAGAAAGAAAAGAGAAAGGGATTAATTCAGCTCATGCAATAATATACAATTCTCAGCATCGACGCCCCTGTTGTTTATCACTTATCCGATTCCAAAGCTTTCACGTTGTAGCCAGCAATGGTAATGGGCATGCACATAGCCAGGCTTGTGCGCATGCCAGTTCCATCGTTATTCTATGCATTTGTTGTTGTTTTATCATCGTGGTTGATGGTCGTCCCCTCGGCCGGTGACCAGAATGAGATTGAGAGCCTGTTGATGTTAAAGAACACGTTATCGAATCCTTCAGCTCTTTACAATTGGAATGCTTCGGCTCCTCCATGTACAGGAGAAAGATCAAACTGGGCTGGTATTATTTGCAACGAGCAAGGTAAAGTAAAGGGTTTACAACTTGAGAGCATGGGTCTATCAGGGGTGGTGAATGTTGAAAGTCTTCATGAGTTGCAGGATTTGCGCCTTCTAAATCTTATGAAAAATAAATTTGAAGGCAGAATCCCTGATATTAAGAAGATGAATAGATTGCAAACTTTATTCTTATCGAATAATCATTTCTCTGGGGAGATTCCCGATGATACGTTTGCACAGATGACTTGGTTGAGGAAAGTGTTTTTGGGTAATAATATTTTTAGCGGTAATATTCCTTCATCGCTGGCTAAGTTGCCTCATCTTTCGATCCTGAGAATGGAGGGGAACGAGTTTAGTGGTCCGGTGCCTGAGTTTACTGGGGACTCTTTGAATGTGGTGAACTTGGCTAACAATCAATTTGAGGGTCCAATTCCTAAAAGCTTAAGCAAAATGCCTGCAACTATGTTCTCAGGTACCCCACTGCAACAATTCGTAATGTATATATTCCATGCCTTTAGTATCGAAGATTTCGAAATCTATTATGTTGGTGCTGCAGGGAACAGAAATCTCTGCGGACCACCTCTCATGGAATGCGGCACTGGCAGACGTCCGCTGCGTCCTCCACCGAGCCCTCCGCCAGAATCAATAATGAACTCTTCAACTGGTCTAATCATTTCCCTCGTTATGGTATCTATAGCTTTAGTAGTGGCTATTCTATTACTTATTTGCTTTCTCCAACGGCGGAAACCACCTCAAACAACGGGGGAGGAGCCATTCGTCGGCCAGTCGTATAAGCCACCGCCACCTCCTATCGAAGTGAGAAAGAAAGCTCCAGTACTTCCCAATCCAGTTCACCATGTGAAAAGGTCTGAATTGATATTCTTCGGAAAGGAAGTCCAAAGGTTCGATTTGCAAGATCTGTTGAGAGCCTCCGCTGAGGTTCTGGGTAGTGGAAATTTCGGAGCTTCATACAAGACCAGCATAGGGCCGGACGAAACGGTGGTGGTGAAGAACTATAAGCAAATGAATCACGTGGGGAAGGACGAATTTCACAAGCACATGAGACGATTAGGAAAGTTGAACCATCGGAACTTACTACCATTATTGGCTTACTACTATAAGAAAGAGGAAAAGCTATTGGTTACTAACTTCATAGTTGACGGTAGCTTGGCTTGTCACCTTCATGGCAAGTTCTTCTTCTTCCCCATCCTTGTAATTCTCTTTTATTACTTATTTAAGTCACTAAGTAGGGTTTATTTGTACAGGCAACCATTCCAGTACCAAACCGGGTCTTTATTGGCAAACCCGGTTGAATATCATGAAAGGAGTTATCAAGGGTTTGGATTATCTCTACAACGAGCTGCCAACCCAAGTTGTTCCGCATGGGCATTTGAAATCTTCTAACGTGCTTTTGGACAAGAACTACGAGCCACTCTTGTGTGACTATGCTTTGAGATCGTTGATAAACCATGAGCAAGCTCACACGCAGATGACGGCTTACAAAGCACCGGAGTACGCTAAGACCGGCAAGATTAATAGGAAAACCGACGTGTGGTGCCTTGGTATACTCATCTTGGAGATCTTAACGGGCAGGATTCCGGAGAACTACCTAACGACGGGCTACAATAGCTCCATGAGTTTAGCCACGTGGGTGAACAAGATGGTTAAGGAGAAGAAGACCAGTGAGGTGTTCGACAAGGAGATGAAAGGAGCGAAGAACAGTTGCGGCGAGTTGATAAGCGTGATGAAGATCGGGTTGAGTTGTTGCAAAGAGGATCCAGAGGCGAGACCGGAGTTGAACGAAGTATTGAAAAGGATTGAAGAGTTGAATGAGGGGGACGACGACGACGACTCGTCTTCAACCATAGGCGAAGTGAACGCAGTTATCTATGGTCAAATGAAGGGTGATTCTTCGTCGTTTGATCGTTGAGCAATAGAGAGATCCAAGGGAGTTAAACAATATGTGAATGTAACGAATCCCGAATGTCCTGGCTATATCTTTTCATGATCAACAACAATAGACAATGAAAAGATTGGTTTGGCAATGGCGGAATTCAACTTCATCTAATAGGATGTCATAACCATTTATTTATATTTTTGAAAAACAATTAAGTATTATTTTAATAAAATTAATTATGACTTTTTTTTGATTTTTTTTTTTGATTTGGAATTAATTTGGATGAAATTGGATAGGGAGTCGCCATCAACCTTTGAATTAGGTAAGTCTAACACCTAAAACGTCATTTAAAACAACTTTAAAAAAAAAATCATTTTTTCACACAAAAGTTAGTCTGCGTTTATGAAGAATCTGATAGTCGATTACGCGTGGAGAATGAGAAACACCCCACATCGTCCAAAAATGATATTGTATCGCTTACATATTGTTGTAACTGTGAAACTTAAAATTCAAATCTAAAGTAAAATTATGATTTATTTATTGAATATAAATTAAATTACTCTGAATTGATTAATTAAAGAAAATTCTTTAACTTGATAATAAATCTCGAGATTTGCAATCCTCCGTCAAAAAAACTATCTCACTTATTTCTTATTCGTAAAGAACCTTCCATCTTCAAATTAATTAAAATATTAAATACTATGAACATAAAATAAAATAAAATAATAAAAAATAGCATAAATAAAATAAAATAAAATTATAATAGTTTTTTTTAAGTTCATAAAAAAGGATTTACACTTTCAAGTTCATAATCTGTTTGAACGTCGTATGGAATTGTATCATTTCGATCAAGTGATACTTTTCACGCCCGCTCTACAAATACAATTCTTAAAAATATTTGAATAAAGGATATTAAAATGAATATGTAATTGTGTAATCATTCGACAAAATGTTTTTAAAGGCAAAACATCTTTTCATATATGTGTATATATACATAAAGGTGATACAATATCGATTATTCACATACTCAAAACAATACGTGATAACTTTACTCTAAGAAAAATTTACATAAACAAATTCCTCATATACGAAAAAATTATACATGAAAAGTATATAAATAAGTAGCAAACTATGTATATAAATATAATATGTACAAAATAAGTATATAAATATAATATATACATATGTATAGTAACAATTTAAACAAAATATAAAACTTTATGATATAATTTCAGTATTTCAATTTTAAAAAATATCTAGTATTAAATAAACAATAAACCATTAAGACTTTAGTACCAAATTATAGATAATGACCATAATGCGAATGTAACCAAGCATAAGACCTCAAGACATAAATTATCCCATTAAAATATTGATTAATATGAGTGACCAAAATGAAAACTGTGCAAAATCATCAGTCCAAACATAAACATTGAAATGAATATAATAACGGGAGAAAATCGCCTCAGTGACCAAAAAAAAGTTATAATATACGATTTTAACCAACTTTTTTTGGATTTGCCAAAATGACCAACAAAATCGCAACGCGAAATAAAAATCGCAACGCGATCCCCAGAATCGCAAATCAGTTTCCAAAATCGCAACGCGATTCTTGAAAATCGCAATGCGATAGTACAAATTCGCATTGCGTTTTGCCAAAATCGCAACGCGAATATGAAAATCGCAACGCGAACACATAAATCGCAACGCGTATCCGTAAATCGCAACGTGTATCCGTAAATCGCAACGCGTATGGGTAAATCGCAATGCGTATCCGTATATCGCAACGCGTATCCGTAAATCGCAACGATAATACATAAAATCGCAACGCGTATCCGTAAATCGCAACGCGATATTTAAAGCGCCATTATAATCGCTACGCGTATTTTATTTTCAAATTACAAAAAGAATATTAAGACAAAATCCCGTAATCGCAACTTATAACCTAAAACCTAAAATCACAACTCAGTCCCATCTCCATCTCTCACTCTCTACGGCGAAGAAATCCATCTCCGAAGATTTCCGTCCCCATCTCCGGCGAAATCCCTCACAACCATTCACGGTCAGAAATCCCTCACAATATTCAGAAATGGAAAATCAACCTCCGAGGGTTAGTTTTTTTAATTATTTTTATTTTGAAATGTTTGCATTATTGTAGGTTTTTCATATTGAAACTGATGATAAGTTTACTGGTCATTTCAATAATAGATTAACCATTTCACTTAGATTTCATTTCGCGTTACGATTCTGTCGTTGCGATTTTCATTTCGCGTTGCTATTCTCTCGTTCCGATTTTCAAGTTAGTATTTGTCTTTGTCTTTGTTCTGTCTTTTGGTTGAAGTAATGCAATCCATTCAAGTTTCAATTTGCAGAAGAGTCGCAACGAGATAAATGAAAATCGCAACGAGAGAATGACTGTCGCAACGAGAGAAATGAAAAGCGCAACGAGAGAATCGCAACGCGAAATGAAAATCGCAACGAGAGAATCGCAATGCGAAACCAAAATCGCATTGCGATTTTCATTTCGCGTTGCGATTCTCTCGTTGCGATTTTCATTTCGCGTTGCGATTCTCTCGTTGCGATTGTCATCTCGCGTTGCGATTCTCTCGTTGCGATTTTCATTTCAACCAAAAGACAAAACAGTGTTGCAAATTTTAGTTTCAAGAATAAACTACTACTTTTTATGTTTATTGTTTTTGGTATATCTTCACAGTGTAGTTTTTGGTATATCTAACTTGGTATGTTTATTGTTTTTGTAGAAATTTTTTTCGGCTCAATTGACCTTGAGAAATAAAGTCAGCCTGGCCACTACAATTGCAAAGAAGCTTTCACCTGCTCAAAGACAATTGTTTGAGGAAACCTGCTTCGGGCCATGGCTGAGAGTACAGCATCCGGGTGGAGATGCTAATTTGACCCATTTGTGGCTTCAGACCATGACATCAAATCTACCCGACAGTATACAACGTGGTGAGGAAGAGATATGGTTTCATTTTCCACCAGCGTATACTTGTTTTGGGCGGAAGGAGTTCTGCTTAATCACTGGTCTACGATTCGGACACGATGATGTAGGCCGGTACACTCGTCATATCGCCCGCCCATCATGGTTATCCCGGGTTTTTCCGGATGAGTCAATGGAGAAGCCGAACCTACATGTCGACGACCTGAAGAAATTGTTTAATAAGAAAGCTGGTTTCACTCGGATGGATGACGTCGATGTTGTCCGAGTATGCCTTCTACTACTTGTGTATGCCGGCTTTTTAGGCAGAGAGGCCAGACAACCTATTCATCGGGAGCTAATAATATTGGTAGAGGACCTGAATGCATGGAATCTGTTTCCGTGGGGTTCGTATATATGGAAAGCTACCTGGACTAAGTTGTCGTCTGCCTTTGATGACCGCAAAAGTTTGCGGGGCGATGGGTCCAAATACACTTTGTCAGGCTTTGTTTGGGCCTTTAAGGTAAGAATTTCTATATAATGTTTCTAAAATTATAATTAATTATTTAACAATTACTAATTTTGTTATTATATTGTTTGTAGATTTAGATATTCGAGGCTTTCCCCAGCATGCGTACATATGCAATAAAAACGTCAAATGATATTCCCAGGGCTATTTCCTGGAAGAGGAAAACTCTGTTGGATTGGGAAGACTTAATACCATATGCCACAATAAATAATGTAAGTTAACACAAATACTTTCATATAATATATAAACAAGTTATTAATAGTAGACGTTTAACTTTGTTTGAGTTTTTATATTTTAGGAGGCTAACATTCCATTACAAAGACTGACACCCACGGAGGAAGAGCTTGCCACTGATTGGTGGCAAGCTAGTCAGAATTTTTTTGATGGCACGGATGATGAGCAGCATCCACTTCCTCCAATTCGAGAGCCATCACCTCACCTAGAGCCATCACCCGATCGACCCGACTATACACCTCTAGAACGAGAGCCATCACCTATCCCGTCACATCATCGAGCCTCTTCTCCACCATCACCTCATGATAGGCGACCGGCAAAGATGCCACGACTCCTATCTCCCTGTTCTCCACCTCCACCTCAACGGGATGAGTCAAGGGAGTTACGTGATGAGGTCAATGCCTTGCGTGAGGAGATCGGTACTCTACGCGATAACGATGGTGCATGGCGTGTGGAGGTGTCAACTTTACGTGGTGAGGTTGCCGCTCTACGTGAGATGATAGTATCGTTGCAGAATGAGGTTCATACTCTACGCAACGAGGTAAGTTTAAGATTTTCCATATTTAACTTAATGATAAATTTACTCGTAATTTCACTTAGATTAGCCATTTCACTTAGATTGCTTAGTAAATTTATTCGGTTGCTGCCAATTCTGCTAAACTGTGTATTCTTTAACACTGTGAAATAGTATTTGTCTTTGTTTTGTCTTTTGGTTGAAAGTAAATTTGTTCGGTTGCTGCCAATTCTGCTAAACTGTGTATTCTTTAACACTGTGAAATAGTATTTGTCTTTGTTTTGTCTTTTGGTTGAAAGTAAATTTGTTCGGTTGCTGCCAATTCTGCTAAACTGTGTATTCTATAACACTGTGAAATAGTATTTGTCTTTGTTTTGTCTTTTGGTTGAAAGTAAATTTGTTCGGTTGCTGCCAATTCTGCTAAACTGTGTATTCTTTAACACTGTGAAATAGTATTTGTCTTTGTTTTGTCTTTTGGTTGAAAGTAAATTTGTTCGGTTGCTGCCAATTCTGCTAAACTGTGTATTCTATAACACTGTGAAATAGTATTTGTCTTTGTTTTGTCTTTTGGTTGAAAGTAAATTTGTTCGGTTGCTACCAATTCTGCTAAACTGTGTATTCTTTAACACTGTGAAATAGTATTTGTCTTTGTTTTGTCTTTTGGTTGAAAGTAAATTTATCCATTCAAGTTTCAATTTGCAGAAGAAGAAATAGTTTACTTTCGCAACACGAAACTTAAAATCGCAACGCGAAACCAAAATCGCAACGCGAAATGAAAATCGCAACGACAGAATCGCAACGCGAAACCAAAATCGCAACGACAAGATCGCAACGCGAAACCAAAATCGCATTGCGATTTTCATTTCGCGTTGCGATTCTTTCGTTGCGATTTTCATTTCGCATTGCGATTCTGTCGTTGCGATTTTCATTTCGCGTTGCGATTTTGGTTTCGCGTTGCGATTTTAAGTTTCGTGTTGCGAAAGTAAACTATTTCTTCTTCTGCAAATTGAAACTTGAATGGATAAATTTACTTTCAACCAAAAGACAAAACAAAGACAAATACTAACTTCAGGGTATTAGTTTGAAACATATTTTTCTTTGTTATCTGATGCATTTTGTGAACTATGATAGAATAATGACTTGGGTGAATACAATGCAAGTTTGAAACATATTTGTCTTTGTTTTCACTGTTTAAATATCATGTCTGTTTATTTACTGATTTTTGTATTTAATTATTTAGCGGCCCGATAGAGTGGATGCTTTACGTCGGGTTATGCTTGCACGACGGAGTTCACGCATCAGACAGCGTGCACGTGCTATTAAGTCTCCGTACACCCCAATAGTGCGAAGACACCGCAAGAAGAAGCCCGACTCGCCTGTCATCCCTCAAGAGTCCACTCCTATCATTGAAGAGGCCCCCCTATCATTCCTCGAGAGTCCCCTCCCACCGTTCAAGAGGCCACTGTCATCATTGAAGAGGTCCCTCCCACCATTCAAGAGCCCGATTCACATGGCGTCATATGTAGGCTTCTTGAGAAACCCTCTGACGTGCCGGACATGATGGATTCAAGTTGGCTCTTGTATGAGTTACCGGCCAGTACCATACCGGTATCTGAAGAGGAGAGGGAACAACTACCGGACACAATTCTGGATAACACCCTTTGGGCTAAGACCGCTGTTGATTTTTATCTACATGAGCGGAGCCAGGGGTGTTTCACTGACATATGCAAGCTCACCGATGATATCTATTTGTTGCTTGATCGGTCTTGGTGGGGCGTATTATTAGGGGTCGAAGACAATGGCTATTTCGATGGGGGGGTAAGTCTTATATTTTTCTTATATTTCAATTTGATTAATTTTTTTTTAAATTTATGTAAGTCACTAATATATGTCTTTTTTTGTAAAACAGCATATCGATGCGTGGGTGACACGTCTTCTAATAATAAGAAAACTTAAGAAAAATAAAAATATACGATATACAATTATGCCGACGTCTTTTCACGCCGTTCACTTGAAGAATGCACGAAATGAATCATTTGATTTGGGCAATGGACAAGCTAAACTTTATCCTGCATGGTGGGAGGTCGATAAGGTTAGTATTTATTTTAGATTGAGTTTAAAGGTTTTATGAAATAAGTGCGCAAATGAATGAATTATTACTTATGATTGCAGGTGTTTATCCCTGTTTTGGAACGTAAACATTGGATTCTCGTCGAGCTTCAGCTCCCATCCCTTAAGACAATAGTGTATGACAGCATGATAAATTACATATCATTGGCTGATTTAAGAGATGTTATTAAGGGATGGAGCTCTCATTTGGCTAAATTCTTGGATGCGATCAATTATTGGACTCGTTCTGGAAACAAGAAGCCAAAGAAGCTCAATATTACAGTTATTAGAGACGAGACCGCGCCACAACAAACGAGCGGAGCCAGAGGAGATTGTGGTCCTCTCGTATGCTTGGCGTTGGAGCGTTTGACGACGGGAAGCATCAAGTATCTACCTCCCACCGATAGAGATAAAGCTGCAGTAGGCTTGTGGTTTCGGCATTATATGGCTAAATCGATATATACGAGACGCTGCCTACCTGCATCCGCGTTATAAAAATGTCCATAAACAATTGGTAAGTTTATATACTTTTGGTTTGAAAATGTTTGGTTAAGTACCTAGAATTCAATAATTTGCTGTTTGTAGGTTTTAGATGTGTAGAAAGTGTTGTTTGAACAAATGTTTGGTTTCTGCAGGTTAATCTCAGAAGTGAACTGCGTGAAAATGATGTCGAGCTGCAAAAGTTGATTCACTAGTTTAATTGATTGTTTTTTGATTGTTTAATTGATTTGTAAAAGTTGATTCAATAGTAGATGATCGGAAATAAGAATTATTGCTTATTTTTGATTGTTTAATTGATTTGTAAAAGATGATTTGTAAAAGTTGATTTGTGTAATTGATGCGAATATAATTCTTATTTGTGCTTGTTTAATTGATTGAAATGTAATGGTTGATTTTGTTGATTTCAATCTGCATTATGTTGAAGGCAAAATTGACTATCGCAATGCGAAATGAAAATCGCAATGCGAAATGAAAATCGCAACGAGAGAATCGCAATGCGAAATGAAAATCGCAATGCGGAAATGAAAATCGCAACGAGAGAATCGCAATGCGATTTTCATTTCGCATTGCGATTCTCTCGTTGCGATTGTAATTTCCGTGTTGCGATAGTCAAATGCATGCCTAATAGTGATAACAACTGAATAACAAGAGTTGGTTAAGTCAAAATGGTTGGCCTGAGTCATTAATTCAACTGAAAATGTTAAAAGTTCACACATAAAATCCACATAATACAACGTTTGCATTTAAAAATCACCTAAGTTAACAGTCCCAAAAGGTGAAGCCAATTGTGATTGGGATTTTAAAGATGGTTGCCTTTTTGCTTGACACCATATGAGCTTTGGATTTTGATGAGGATCCATATTTTGGTAGAGGAAAAGATGATTTTGATGGCACTGGTGATCCACATGTCAACCTTGTATGACCACTTTCCTTGCACCGACTACATGTCGATCTCTTCTTCTCTTCACCCTTAGACGGTATACGATCGTGACTTTTTGGTCGGCCAGGTAGCCTTCTGTCCATGGCTGGTGGCAAAACTGTTTGTAAGTCATCTGGTATGTCCCACTCAGAAGGATGTGGAATAGGGTAGACAATCTCGGCATAAGTCTGTCGATAAACTTCTGTAGTGTAGCAATCCATAGCGTATGTGCTTGAATCATCTTGGTTTAAATGAAGAGCAACTTTTATAACATGGCCACACGGATAACCAGATGTTTGCCATTTCATACAACTACACGTCTTTGCATTTAGATCGACTAGCCCATTTAAGTTATTATCCAGTACTTGAAACAAAGTGTTTGAACATGGTTCAACTCTGCACTATTAGACGTCATGAAACCATATCTTGCTCCAAGTTGATGTACTCTTGACCATCTTTCAAACCCGACATCTTCTAGTGTTTGAGCACACTGAGGCAAAACACGTCTTAAACAATTTATATGCTTATTGAAATCCACTTCCCGATAAGCTTTTACAGCCTTCCAGTATGTCCATTTGTGCTTTTTTATACCAGCAGACCTTGATTTTAGATTTCTATACAAATGAACACCACAAAGTCCATGAAAAGCATCTGGGAAACACCTTCTAACAGCGTTGTCAATTGAGTTTGCCCTATCGGATATGATTGTCAGATTGCTAATAGGACCTATGCAATCCCTAAGATGCCCCATAAACCATGTCCATGAATCAGAGGTTTCAGATTTGCCAACCCCGTAAGCTATTGGCAATATCCCATTGTTAGCATCCATGGCTACTGCTAATAAGTTTACTCCAAGGTATCGACCTTTCAAATGTGCTCCGTCAACTATAATAACTGGGCGCATGCAAGTAATAAACGAACGAATCTACAAAATAATATACACAAGAAATATAATCATTTAAATGTGAAATGCATGTAACTAACAAAAATGAGTCAACAAAATTATATTGATTTACTAACCGTAGCACCAATGGCGATAAACAGCAACTCAAAGCGTCCATCTCTATCTGTTTTGATATGAGTTACCGACCCAGGATTTTTCAGCTTTAAATTGTGACAATAAGCCGGCAGTTGGGCAAACGATGCTTCTGGCGACCCCCTCAACAATTCCAAGGCATAACATTTGGCTCTCCAAGCTTGAGAATATGATATACTAATCTTGAACCGAGCATTCATGTCAGTCATAATTTCATGTCCCCGATATACCCTGCCATTCAAAAATATTAACTCAGCCAGAAAACCACCCAACACCTTTTTGTTTGCCTGTCTATGGTGAGGAAAAAACTTGGGTTCTTGAACATGTATGTTTATCAATAAAAGTCCTAACTTGAAACATTTTGCAATCTTTATTCTCTTTGCAATCATACGCCACGTATAGTTTTTGTCAATCATACACCTTGTTTCGAAACGATCTTTGCTTGATTTGTTAACTTTTAGTTGATAGCCATCTTCCACACATTTCGTATACAAAGCTATCTTCAAGTCTTCCTTTGTATCAAAACAATCATCTTTCTTGACACGAATAACTTTGTGTAACAATCAACTGCTTTCTTTGCCAACTCTTCTTCCGGTAAACTGAAGTAATTCTGGCATATTCCAGTTATACTCCCGTGGCATTTTCTTTTCTTCGGGGACTTTTTCTTCTTCTTTTTCTTCTTCAGGATTATATGAATTACAGAATGGATGTTCAACATGTTCATTCACAGTCGTAACTTCTCCTCATTATCATCAACAACATCTTCCTCGGCAACGGGTGTTTCATCATCAAAATTCGGGTATTGACCAATATGAAAATCATTACACACATGGTCTGTTTCTTCTTCTGAAACATCATCAAAATCCGTGTATTGACCAATATCAAAGTCTGGATATTGACCAAGACCAAATTTCGAATACTGACTAGTACTCACAATTTTTTCTGTTGGCTCATCATCGTCTAACTGGTCAATACGAAAACCGGAATTTGGTGCTGAAAGTTGATTGGGATTTGGATTAGAGAAAGGTTGTGGGTTTTGAGAAAAACTTAGTTGATTACTACCCGCTACTGACCCAACAATACTACTTCTAGGTTCAACAACATACAATGTAACATCTTGTGAAACACTAATGTAAGCAATGAATCGTTCAACATCTTCATTGTCGGTTAACAAATAAACTTACCATTTCTCTGATAAGATAGCCTAAATCCACTTAGGGGCTCTAAATTCAATTTATTTGAAACACGTAGCATTAGAGTTCATAAGTTAACTTTTGTAAAGACAATTTTAGTTGAAGATTCATGGGTAAAGGCATATATGTAAAACACCATGAACATTATCCCATGACCCTCCAAAACACAAATCTATCCAAACATGATCAACATTAGATGATTCATGGTTGTAAATTAATTTACTAAACAGACGAGCTGCGAAACTAAAACCTGTTGCCGGATTGGGAAGGATGTCGTTGGATATAGGAACGGATGTCGCCGGAGAGAGTGATAGATGGAGATGGAATGAGTTGCGATTTAGGGATTTAGTTTATGATTTCAGTGTTATATACCCAAAATTTCAGTGTTGTGATTTACAGATTTCGTTGCGATTACGGATTATCGTTGCGATTTACAGATTCTCGTTGCGATTTACGGATTATCGTTGCGATTTACAGATTCTCGTTGCGATTTACGGATACGCGTTGCGATATACGGATACGCACTGCGATTTACCCATACGCGTTGCGATTTACGGATACGCGTTGCGATTTACGGATACGCGTTGCGATTTATGTGTTCGCGTTGCGATTTTCATATTCGCGTTGCGATTTTGGAAAATCGCAATGCGAATTTGTACTATCGCATTGCGATTTTCAAGAATCGCGTTGCGATTTTGGAAAATGATTTGCGATTCTGGGGATCGCGTTGCGATTTTTATTTCGCGTTGCGATTTTGTTGGTCATTTTGGCAAATCCAAAAAAAGTTGGTTAAAATCGTATATTATAACTTTTTTTTGGTCACTGAGGCGATTTTCTCTAATAACGGATAATATGGGACTAAAATGAAACGTTTACAAACATCAATATCAAAATCGAACATCAACAAAAAGGCATAACATGTAAAATAGTGACTAAAACATAAAAAATGAAAGAATAAAGCTCAAAACAGAATAACACAACACTTCAATTAATGGTAAGAAAGAACAATTACAAAGCTAGAAGAACTGAAAATAGCATTTCCCCATACGCGAAAATACAACATCACCCCCTTTATGAAACTACGTCGTTTTACATTACATATATATATATATATATATATATTAGAAACTAAACCCCCAAACGATCCTTCTTCATTTTACTTTGTTTCTCTTAAGCCCGAGGAGAGAGTATGGCTGTAAATGAGATGAGACAGATCGCGAGCTACTCGAGATCGACTCGGTCAAGGCTCGATAAATACTCGGATCGAATGGACTCGACTCGAACTCGACTCGAATTCTTAACGAGCCGAAATGAGCTACTTGATACTCGACTCGAAAAGCTCATGAGCAGTTCGAAAATATAATATATTAAGATTTTATTTTTTAAAAAATAAATTATTAATACTATTAACATTTATGTGTTGATTTTTTCTTTAAAAATACAATAAGAGTTTCATGTATTTAAGGTTCAGGTTCGAGTTTGAGGATTCAATCTTGTTAAGTTTAAGATTTTTTTTTCATTTCGAGCCTTTTCGAGCTGCTCACGAGCTTCAGTTCAAGATTTCGAGTTCGAGTCGAGCTTAAAAATTTTAAGCTCGCGAGTTTCGAGTCGAGTCGAGCTCAGCAATACTCGAGCTCGACTCGGCTCGTTTACACCCCTAGGAGAGAGAGAGGGGATTATTCTCTCAACTCTCCTCCCTTTTCTCATTCCTCCGTCGCGGGGGGAAACCAGAAAAGTCACGGTCACCGTGAGGCAACGACGATTGCCTTAAAATCATAAACAAAAACGACCCTTGACCTCACCTCCCTTCCTCTCTTTCTAAAAACCAACCTTTCCCCCACCCAAAACATGACTCAACCCTTGAACCCACAACCCTAAAGACAGGGACTTTACCTTCGATGGGCTTCCGATTTGATGAAGGGTAAACTTTCTGGTTCCTCTCTTTTTTCTTTGTGTTTTTTTGTTCTCTCTCTTTTATTTATCTTGTTCTCCTCTCTGATTTATGGTTGATGTTATTGTTGAAATCATGAGATCTAGAAATAGGTTGATTTCTCTGCTGTTTGGTATGTTAAATCCCGAAAAAATCAGGATTTAACCCCTTTTTAATGGGATTTTGATTTTCTCTGATTTGGTGGTTGTTGGTGCACTGTGGATGACGACAGTGGCTTGGAAATAATCGACGGCGGCTCACGCGGCTGGGGAGACGAACGGTGGAATTCACGCGTCAGTCTGGAGACGAAGTGTCGGGCGCGTGTACTACACGCGCTGACGATAAACTGGTTATATTCACCGGCGGCGGCTGGCTGTTGAGATGGAACACTAATCGAGTTCTGGGTTAGCATGTTGGGCTTGGACGGGTTGGATCTGACATGAATGTGAGTTGGGCATGAATTTGTAAACGGGTTGGATCTATTTGGGCTTCAACTGGGTCTGTTGGGGTTTTGAATTAGGCCTTTGGGCCTTGTAATGGTTTGGGCTCCATTTGAGTCTGCAAAATGTAAATAATTTTTATTAATAATAATATTTTTTAGACCTCGATAAAAATGGATGTCTACAATGACAGTCTTTACAAAATTTTAAATTTATAAAGACTAAATATATATATATATTCAAAATTGTTTGTCATATATTTTTGTGGAAGTGGGGACTATGATCCCGCCCGTCCATTTTCTGTTCGGCCATTGTTGCTCTGGGCTATAGCCTGTAATTCTAGACATGGAGCTGATTCATATATTCTTTTTTTCTATGTTGGTGAGGGAAAAACAGAAAAGAAGGGGGGAAAAGCAAACTGTTTTTTTAGAAAATTATTTGAAATGAAAAGGAATCAAATGCAACTATTAGGTTGTTTTTTGTTTTAAATCTTGTGTTTGATATATTAGGGATTCTAATGATTTTCTCTCAATCTTTTCTAAAATAACATAAACTTAAACATATATATGCCCTAATAAATAAAGTGGTTCTTTGTATCTCAAGCCTACGTGAACATAAATCTTTTGCCCCTTCTATACGTCCCATTTTACGCCCCACTAATAATATTTTTACACGTGTTTCTTTTTTTATGACAACATTTATAAATTTTTAAAAAAAATACTTTCTTATTTTTCTTCATCTTCTACGATCAGCCTTTATTACTTTACCTTTACCGGAATGCTTTGAGAAAATTCTTCTTTCTGTTAGAAATAAGTTGTAATTAGTTATTAGTTTGTTAAATCTGTTTTGAGTTGTTATTAGGTTGTTATATTTGGGGTATAAAATACCCAAGTTTAGTTTGTAATTCATACAAGTCATTTACAATAAAAGTATCTTCAGTGCTTTCCTCTTTCACTTTCTTATTTTCCTGTATCTTCATTCTTCAACTCATACAATCGTCTCAACTTCCATGGCTGCTTTCTCACACTTTCTCAGACAAATCAACATTATTTCCATCCACAGCTTTTAAATCAAAAGACCAAACTAAATTTGACACAAAATCCTCCTCTTTCATCTTTGGTAACAGAAAATGTGTAGGTAGGTGACGCCTTAGATCTTCGAAAATTACTGTTTTCAGATAATGCATCTTCTGTAAATCCTCATCTTTCATATCTTCTTCTATCAAGTGCTCTTGCTTAGTCTTCTTTCTTGCCCTTATGGACGGATCAACACATCTTCTTGATTCTGTAGAATTCGAAGGAATTTTTTTCCAAACCTTATAGAATAAAACCTTGGTATCTCTAGACCAGATATTAAGTACGTTGAAATTTTGAAAACTCAACAATAAATCACGCTGAACATCCTCAATTCTTCGGATAGTTGGGATGACTACTCAAGAATTTGGTCCAAGATAAATTGTAGAAGATGAAGTAAAATAAGAAAGTATTTTTTTTTAGAAATTTATGTGTTTCCATAAAAACAAAAAAAAGACACGTGTAAACATATTATTAGTGGGGGCACAAACAGGGGCATATATAGATAGGGGTGTTTAAATTCGGGTACCGCATTTTCGGGTACATGAAGTACCAGGTCTCTTGCCTGCTTGACCGGTCGCTTGCTTGAATGCTTGAATGGTGGCTGATGAGAATGATGGTTGAAGGGTTAGGGATTGAAATTTTTTAATTTAGGATTGGGAGAAATATCCATGAATCGTGATATTAATTAAGTGAAGAGTCAAAATCTAAGCTAAAAGATAGTGGATAGCGGGTCAGCAAATACGTTGTTAAGCCGTATTTTGTGATTCGAGTCCGAGTCGAAAACCTGAGAAAATTAGTGGACTGGGTATCTGACCTGAAAATTTAGATATTTTCAATATAATTATCTGATAATTTTTGATCGGGTCAATAAGTCGATAGATTAGGTCATCTGGATTGGATATTTTTGAACACCTTATATAGAGAGGGCAGAAGATTTTTGTTCAGCCTACGTGGCATACACATGGGTTTATTTTATTTTATATCTGGGCTACATCAAATTGAATCGAAATTGTCTTCCATGGTATGGGCGTTATGTCTTAATTGGACAAGATTTCAAACATCAAAACATGTTTCCATAAAACGAGTTTTTAATGCAATTTTTGCTAGTTTTTCTTTTCTCTTTACTCTCTACGCCGCTCGCCTTGTTATTTTGTCTTAACTGACTGGCGATAATACTAATTTTAGTGTTGATGACGGTACACCCTCGGTATTTAATATTTTTATTTACTTTTATATTATATATTTAATTTTCTCTAATTTTTAATAATTATATCTTTATAAATCATTTTCATTTATTTTTATGCAACGTTTTTATATATTTTTGGTATATTTTGGTCTTTTTTACCAAATGTTTGGTTGATTTTATCGTTTAATTTTCTCAATGTTATAATTGGCATCGCCTAGATTAATCAAGTTGACATTTATTTGTTATCATGTTGACATGTTCTGCTTTGGATTCTCTCAGATGAATTTAGATATGAGGTTTGTGTTTAGAGATAGTTTTCTCACGACGTTCGACTATAATTCAAGATTTTCAATAATATTTCAGTAACTTGATCTCTTGTTGTGATTGTTTTGCCGATGCAGTCAGATATATTCTCATGTTTATTTTGTTTGAGTTTTTAACATTTTTCTTATACAGTTCTTATGTGACTTTAAGTGACTAGTTTCATATCCTTATTATAAAAATGTAGTAATTATATGTTTAGTTTACACTTATTATAAACCGTCATTATAATATTGGTCTTTTCATTTTTAATAAAACTAAATGCTTTTATTTGCATGTAAAAATAATTTTTAACTGATTTAATAATTTCAATAGTTAAATGTGTGTTGTTATTCCTAGATATCTTAGGTTCAGGTAGTTACATCTTCATGGTGCAACATGCATTATTAATGACTAAAAAAGAATATAAACAAATATTACCTTATAATCATTCGTATTATAAAAAAATTATATGCATAATTGTGATATATATATATATATATAGGTAATTGTTATAGATAAAAATAGATAAATGATTGGTGAATAAAAATGAAATATATATCTACATAAAAATATAAATTAAAAATTATTAAGTCACCATATTCAATGATAAATAAATTCCACTAAAAATGATAAATTATAAAAGAACAAAATTACAATACATTAAATCATATTGTACAAATATATATCTACATAAATATATATCAATGTACAAATTTATAAAAACAGTAATAAAATTAATTAGTCTAATTTTTTTAATCTTAGGTGATTACAAGTGATAGTATTTGTTCTAAAGACTTTCAATCATTTGACAATGAACGTTTAAATATCATGACAATCGTTGGTGCTTAATTAATTTATATTAGATATTTTATATGTCAATTATAGAGACAATCATACCAATCCAAATTACTCTGTTCACAACACCACGATTTGAATATCTAATGTCGTTGCACGAATTAATCTACTTCAGTAGTTAAAGGGATAGTTATTATCTTTAGAGGAAAGTCTTAGGTTCGAATACATCAAATGTTAGAGGTATTTAAACACTTATTATCAAATATGTTGTGAGTCTTTTGAATAGATATTACACATCATTAATTATTAGATAATTTATATATCGCTTAAAAATATATATATCTAATTTAGCTTAAAAGACCCGACACTTTATTTCATTAAATATAAGTTTATATATCGGATGTATGATTATTATATAGTATTAATTATTAATTATAAAATTATTTTTTTTAAAATTTTCTAAGTGCATTGAAAGTTATTTAAAGGGAAAGACCATTCACTCTAAGCTTTAAATAATATTAAAATATATAAATTTAAGGGAGTTTGCCATCGACTTTTAAAAAGTGATTTTTAAAAATGTGTTAGAAAAGAATTTTTAAAATTAATTTTTCAAAAGTGCATTTTAAATTTAATTGTTTGAGATTATTTTTAAAAAATTATTTTGAAAAAATAATGTTCATTTTAAATATTATGTTATAACATTTAAATTATATTTATATTTATTAATACTATAATATATAAAATACGTCAACTAAACTATAACAAAAATATAAAAAGATATTTTAAGATAATTCATTAGTAATATTTTATATATGAAATAATTTATTAAGAGAAATATATTGTCAATATTGTTTAATATTGTAAATTTAAAATAGTATTTTAATTATTTCAATTTAACCACAATCATTGATTTAAAATTTAAAATAAAGTAATTTAAGTGATATATTTATCATTTTAAGTTCAATAAATAATAAAAGATATGTATTATAAATAAATTTAAAATAGATTATTATTATATATATAATATATCAATTTAAATTATAACAAAATCTAAAAATACAAATAAAAATATATTTTATAACAACTCAATATTAATATTTTAGTATATAAATCATAAATTTATTTACTTTTAAGTAATTAAAATAAATTATTTTTTAAAAGATACAATTAACAACTGAAATTGAATTTCAAAGTTCTTTTCCAGGACAAATGAGTGGAGTGCATGCATTGATAAGGATAAAATTATAAATTTGATTCCAAATATAATTGAAAATGAAAAAAACTATAAATCTTAATTTTTTCAGTTGGTTTGGAACCATTGTTTTTACCGTATTTATTTTATTTTTTACTTGTTTGGTATTTATTTTAAGCTCAAAATAAACTTTTTTAACCAAAAGTGTTTTTAAACATTATTACCAAAAGGACTCTTAAGCTAATAGGAAATATAATCTGATGTGATAGTTAAACATCAATTTTTATTAGTAGTTTGTGGCTCAACAATCTAATTCAAGATTAAAAAAAAAAGCAAAAGTGGACGTAATAAAAAATTGATAAAAGTATAATAGTTAGGTTGGACGCCACATAAAATATTATTATTTTTTTAATATCTTGGTTGAACCTAAAATATTACGAAAAAGATAATATTTTTAGTTATCAATCGAAAATGTTATAAAAATGTAACATTTTAGATTCAATCGAAAATGTTATGAATATTTTAGATTGTGTGTAATTTAAAATGTTATTTTTTTATCACATTTTCAGTTGCACCAATTTCTATTGTTTTTTAATCTTAAGTTAGGTCGTTCTTGGTGGCGGATATAAAACATGTTCACTTTAAAATTTGAATTTATTTATATTAATTATCCACTTACTACTAGTGTTTATCTTAAAATTTAATTTGTGTATACTCTAAAAAATTCAATAATTAATATGTGTGTCCACTCTAAAAAAAATATTTCTATATTTGCAACTTGATCCTCCTCGAACTTTACCCCTGTTTTTACACAGTCTGTATACGTTGTAATTACCGGCCGTTATCTCATTTATATTTCTGTTAGTACAGGTAACGTCATTTTGCCTATAATATAATATACACCCATGGGGGAAAAAGAGAGAGAAGCAGGGAGAATAAATATAGGCATCCAGTTTTAGTTTTTTTTTTCCCCTTCAAGGAAAATTGTTAGTTACAGGAGCACAAATATCGGTCAAATACTCAAATTTTGCGGAATGCATTTGACAACAAAAATAGACAAGAAACCAGAACGATCAAGTTGTTAAAAGGGAGACGATAAAAGGCAGTGCAGGTCAAATCCGAATTTCGATGCCTGCTGCGTAGAGATTAGGAGGAAATAGACGAGGGAAGGTGTTCGTCTCCTCTCAAACTCGGTAACTGTCCCCTTTTTTTTCTCACTCATTATATCAAACGATGATTCATCTGATAGTTTTTCTCAGCAGGAACTTGAATCGTCTTTTTTTCATGAATCAGAGTGACTAATATTGTTTATTCTTAATAGTTCTTTGAGAGGAGAGTCATAAGAAATAACGACAGCAAAATGTGGCATCCGAAGGGACCTACAAGTACATCTATGAAGAAAGGTGGAGGCAGAGGGCTTGTAGCGGTAGCCATTGATAAGGACAAAGGGAGCCAGCATGCTTTCAGATGGGCTGTTGAGCATCTTCTTTCCAAAAGCCAAAATGTTGTTCTTATCCATGTTGTTAATAATAAACAACCAAATGGAGCAAGTAATTTTCTTTTATATGTATATATGTATCGAGACCCTAAATTTTAGCTTGGTTGATTACCTGCATGCTCTGTTCTGTTTTTATTAAGTTTATTCTGGTGCAGGTAATGGTGGCGACTCGTTGAACAAGGACAAGCTAGCCAAGGACTTGTTCCTCACCTTCCATTGTTTCTGTACTAGAAAAGATGTAAGCTTATGAATCGAATGCTTGTCTTCGACATTTTTTAACGTTGTGGTGTTTAATTTGATTTGAGCTTGTCTCCTGTTTTTGTTGTCCTTTTACAACAGATACATTCGATTGATATCGTACTCGAAGATTCGGATGTTGTTAAAGCATTGACAGAATATGTTTCTTACGCTGCAATTGGGAAACTGGTTCTTGGTGCCCCATCTCGAGGCGGATTTATGAGGTATTTAATAGCAACAAATGTGCCTGAAATGTCGAAACAAACATTAAAATCTGGTGTAAATGCAGCTTTTGTATGCTTAAAATTTAAAAGAATGATGGCATGTCATGTAGAAAATTCAGGGCCGACATACCAAGCTCTGTAACAAAAGGTGTACCGGACTTCTGCACTGTCTATGTCATTTTCAAAAGGAAAGGTGTCATCGGTAAAAAACGCCATTCGTTCACCTCCATTCGCCTCCCCGTTACTTGATCAAATTAAGAAACCGACTACACCTACCTTTTCTAGTAAGCCCTCCCTGAGTACTCCTGGTCCAGGAAAAGGAGGTTTGTTTCCTTATACACTAATGTCCTTTCAATTTAGTTTCCATCTACATCTAGACTAACTGAAAATGCAATATTTGTATCTTGACCATGCAGTAGAAGTTAGGTTAGGGTCCAGGCATAATGATTCAATCCGCAGCGATCCCAGGCAAGTCTTAATAAATAATCCTGTTAAGCAAAAAAACTTGGATTGTTGTAGCCAGGAAATGGGATGAAAATGAACTAACCATCATCTTTATAAAATCAGGTCACTAAATCCTCCTACAAGAGCCAGTCTCATGAGAGCATTCGAGGATTTATCAGACTTAGATACCGATATATCGTTTGTCAGCTCGGACAGAACAAGCACTGATCGTAACTCTTCTTTGTTCTTTGATTCGTTCATTGACTCTAGTCGAAATATGCGCTTATCCAACTGCACAGATAGCGTGGGATCAGTGCGTTCAGGATTGAGGTGGAGTGACCATAATTCGCAACTTGATTTCTCGCCACCGTGGTGCGACAGTGGAAGAACATCTTGTTCATCGCAGTGTCTGGTATGTTAATCAGTATGTTTGCTATAGAAGATTAGCTTTAAAATAGCCTCCTGCAGGTTCTACTCATCTCCTATCATAGAACATATTGAAAATGCATATTAGAAACAGAACTGTGTTTGTTTTAGTCCGAGTACTCTCAACAAGTTCATACCGCTCATGGCTGGTCAAAATCGATTTTCCACTTGTTTTATCTAAAACCGAACAGGATGAAGTTGAAGCTGAAATGAGGAGGCTAAGGCAAGAATTGAAGCAAACAATGGAATTATATGGTAATGCCTGCAGAGAAGCAATTTCAGCAAAACAACAGGTACAAGCATCAAGCATGTCATCTGTTAACCCTCCGGCCGAGTTAAATTTTCTGAATTGTAGAGACTTAATAACCTCAGGCAATGGAGTTAAAACACGCCAACAATCAAGGACAAAGATTGGAAGAGGCACAACGAGCCGAGGAAGGTGCAATGTCAGCTGTAGAGAAAGAGAGAGCCAGGTGCAAAGCAGTCATGGAAGCAGCTGAAGCAGTACAGAAACGGATAGAATCGAAGCGAATGTCAATGAGTTCAGGAAGGGGAGCTCTAAAAGAATCAGAGGAAATGAAGAGGTTGTTGGAGACTCTATCCAATGGTAACATCAAATACAGGATATACACCATTGAGGAAATTGAAAAAGCAACAGATAATTTTGCCCCCTCTCAAAAAATCGGAGAAGGAGGTTATGGTCCTGTCTTCAAGTGTTACCTTGATCATACACAAGTTGCAGTTAAGGTTTTGCGTCCCGATGCTGCTCAAGGGAGATTACAGTTCCTGCAAGAGGTAAAAAGCTGATAATATAATTGATTAAGAGATTCTTTAAAGACATTAAATTATTCGAACATCATGCTGTTGATGATTGTTTTGCAGATTGAAGTACTGAGCTGCATACGGCATCCTAACATGGTACTTCTTCTAGGAGCCTGCCCAGAGTACGGGATTCTAGTGTATGAATACATGGCTAGGGGAAGCTTAGATGATTGTCTATTTAGGAAAGGAAACAACCCAGTACTGTCTTGGCAACTCAGGTTCCGAATCGCTGCAGATATTGCAACTGGCCTACTTTTTCTCCATCAAACAAAACCAGAACCAATTGTTCACCGTGACATAAAGCCTGCCAACATATTGCTAGACCACAACTACGTTAGCAAGATCAGTGATGTTGGTTTGGCCAAGCTTGTACCTGCCGTTGCGGAGAACGCGACACAATGCTGCATAACGTCGGCGGCTGGAACATTTTGCTACATCGACCCGGAGTATCAACAAACCGGTGCGCTGGGGACGAAATCAGATGTATATTCCTTAGGGATCATACTTCTTCAACTCCTAACAGCAAGGCCACCAATGGGGTTGGCTCACTACGTGGGGCAAGCCATGGAGAGAGGCACGTTCGAAGAGATGCTGGACCCTGCAGTGACCGACTGGCCAGCTGAAGAGACCATGGCAATGGCCAAACTGGCACTTCGATGTGCGGAACTGAGACGGCGAGAAAGGCCGGATCTCGACAAGGAAGTGTTACCAGAACTGAATCGACTCAGAGCGATTGCCGAGGAGAATATGTCCCCTACCATGTTTGCTGGAAACTAGTGACCTTCACCTACCCTTAGCCAAAGCTTCTTTTATCACACGCGAGGTTTTGAAATTCTGGATAAAAGGGAACAAGCCTAAGGATAACTAAAATATACTAGTTCTAGTAATTCTTTAACAAACTGACTCTCTTAATTCAAATTATTTCATTCTTAACGTATTGTATGTCCCCTCTCCCTACTTCGAAATCTTTGGGAAGTAGAGAGAGTAATATTCAATTCTTTGTTCCATACTAATACTTTCCACCTTCTTTGTTTTACCTTAAATCAAAGTATTAATATTAAATTATATTAATTTAAATTATGTTGTTCTTTTTGAAATCGGTTTAGTTTTATACAAAGATTTTAAAGTTTGTTTGGCTTGAATTAGTTTTAAAAATATATTTTTAGTAACTGTGAGTTTAATATAAAGTAGTATTTATTTAAAATATTTAAATATTTGACAATAAATACTCATCATCTTTATATACATGGTGCTTGAATCTGAAAAGAATAATAACAAATCCCTTACTTACACCGGAGCAGCTTGGTTCGTACAAAATATTTCTCCTAATAATAATAAAATCTTCAAATCAAAATTTGATTTTAGGTATTTTAAAATTTGGTGCGACCACTAAAAGAATATCCTTCAAGACAATAGTAAAAAGAAAAGGGTAAACTACACTAGTTACAGCTTAAGTATGGAAAAAAATCACTTTGATTACCGATATTTCGTTTTGATCAAACAGACCACCCAATTATTTAAATAGTTCATTCAAGCTACTCTCTGTTAATTTTTAACAGTGATTGGGACGTGTTAGTTAATACAATTGGCCTAATTATACATTTGGTCATTATTACTTATCCATTCTATCAATTTAGTCCTAATTTTAATTTAATTTAAAAAATTAACCTCCAACCCGGGGTGCCACATGTCAACATATTATTGTGACACATTTTCAAGTGACATGTGTCACCAGTTGATTGGAGAATTATTTTTAATTAATTTTAATATTTCAATTGGATAAATTTATCCAATTGTTGACTGGCAGCTATGGATTGGAGGTTAATTTTTAAACTAAATTAAAATTAGGAGTAAATTGATAGAATATGTAAGTATTAAGGACCTAATTATACCAATTGTATTAACTGACATGTCACCATCATTAAAAATTAACGGAGAGTGGCTTGAATGAATAATTTAAATAGTTAAATGGTCTGTTTGATTAAAATAAAATATCGATGGTTAAGGTGGTTTTTTGCCATAATTTAGTGATTACCCATGTAGTTTACTCTACAAAATCCAGTCTCCCCATGTTTACCTAGGCCTGTAAACGAACCGAACGCACACGAACGGAGGTATGTTCATGTTCGTTCATTTAATAAATAGACGAACATAAACGAACACGAACATAAACGAACAAAATTTTTTTGTTCATGTTCGTTTATTAAGGAATATAATATGTTCATGTTCGTTCATTAATAAATAAACGAACACGAACATAAACGAACACGAACATAAATGAACACGAACATAAACGAACATAAACGTTGGAGACCCTACCTTCCATTGTTCTTTCATGAAAAATAGTCGACAATGCAAATAACCAAATCTACAGTGATAAATAGCGTAAGAGTTTTATTGATGAAATGTTTGAAGATATCAAATATTTGATCGATCTTTTAAAGATATTAAATTATTCACACAACTTTAATTTAACGCTATAACATTTATCTTAGTGGTCCATGATTACATATGAACAATCATTTTTCGCTATTACACTCTTTTCAGAAATTGCATAGAAATCTTTGTTTTGTTTTCTGGCAAATTCTATATATTTTTCTCTTTATTGATGCTCATATACTTCCGATTGTTACCTTATCTTCCCATCTATTTCTAGAAAGATGATGTTTTTTGAGTTTTAGATGTGAAGATACCTGCAATACTTTACATATCAACTATGAAGTCAAATAAACAGAAAGAGATGAAAACAGACCTGTAAAACTTCATATGCACTATAATATAACTTGTTTTGAAGCTTTCAGCGATCGTCTCCACTCTCTAGTGAACACTAGGGTTTGGGGAAAAAAGGGGAAATGAATATAGGTGCGATGTGCCTCACAGGTTAACATATTGGATTTAATCTCCAAAAATTGGGTTAATTATGGAGTTGGTCATCAGAATATCAGATTAATTAATATTTTTAAGGTACTTACAAATTGGTCACCAAAATTGATTTAAGAAGATTGAGTTAAATATAAATGAACATAAACGAACATAATCGAACGAACATAAACAAACATACCGAACGAACATAATCGAACGTTCACGAACGTAAATGAACGAACGAGACCTATGTTCATGTTCGTTCATTTAATTAAACGAACAAAAAATATTGTTCAAGTTCGTTCATTTAATAAATAAACGCACATAAACGAACTTCCCGCCGCAAGGTTCACGAACGGTTCGCTGAACGTTTAGTTCATTTACAGGCCTATGTTTACCCTTAAAAAAATTAGTCTTTCTCATTATTAAAAGGGTAAATTACACATTTAGTATCCAAAGTATCACTTTTGTTCCATTTTGATTACCTAACTATTTTTTGTTTTAAAGTCATTCCTAATTTAGTTTTGATTTATTTTGGTCACCCACTGTTAAAAGTTAATAAAATTGTTGATATTACATTTTTTTTTATATTTCAATGATGACATTATTTTATGGTAACGTGACAATAAAACCGTTAAATTTTTAACAAGTAATTAAAATAAAACCAAAACTAAAAGTTAATTGTAATTTTGAAATAAAAATAATTAAATAATCAAAACCGAAGAAAAGGTTAAACCCCACGGAATTTATATCTCCAGTTCTCCTATCTGCCTCGTTTTCTCCTCCTAGTCTTCAAAAAACCTCAGAATCGTAGGATTTTTCAATTTCACCAGTATTGTAAGAAAATGGAACAACCTGCGACTCCAACAGCTGTTGCTCAGAAAATTAGCGACACAGCCATCAACAACAAAGCAGAGGAAAATCCCGACGACCCAGAAACTAATATCCCATTACCAAACCCAGGCCTCGATGCCCAAGAAACTGCAGTCAAAGTCATGGAGGATCTTCAAAGTCGTCCAACTCCAGTCACCAGACAAGCTGTTGATCAAGGGTGGACGGTGTCAACAACAGGTTAGCGGTTGTGGATATTTGGAGACCTTCTCAATTGGAGTTGCCTACTGTCAATGTCATCACCTGTGTTTTTTTAGGGTATTGCTCAGATTTGGTCTTCCGTTAGTACTGCTACCAATCCTGCCACTAATAAAGAATCAGACTACCATAAGTTGTATTGTTTACTCAACCTTCTTGTTTAAGGAATTTACAGCTTTGTCAGTGTCTTCTGGAATGGGACTACTTCACTGGACTGAGAAATCGGTTCAAGTGTTGATAACCGACTGGAAAGCCTCAGCAGAACAGCAGGATGAATAAATAGCTGGATGTGATTCAGTTTGCACACATTTTAATTGCGTACGAATATATATTATTTTATAATTATTTCATATTATAAAAAATTATGTAAGATTAATTTTGTATTGTTTATGGATTTTTTTGATATTATAATATATGAAATATATCAACTTAGATAGTGACATCAAAATTATTTGAACAAAGATGTATATATTATTAGGATAGGAATCTACTTATATTAGTGTAATTTTTATATGGTAATATTTTTTGGGTAAATCATGCATCTAGCACTTTAATTTTCATTTTTTTCAAAACCATACCTTACGCTTAGTTTTCATTTCATTTTAGTATCTCACTGTTAAAAATTTAACATGTTTAGTACCTAAACTTCCATTTTTTCAAAACTTAATTTTAAATTTTGAAAGGGTTACTAAAATAAAACATAAAACTAAAATTTTTAATGATGTGTACTAAAATGAAATAAAAACTAAATTTTAGGTATGATTTTGAAAAAACTAAAAGTTTAAGTACTAAAAGAGCCAAAAACTATAATTTAGATACTAAACGTGTATCTTATCCTAATTTTTTTGGTTAATATTTAAACAATCCGACTAATAATTGAATTTTTTATCCGATTCACATACAACATTTATGCCAATCTTTAATTAAATTGAAAATATTTAACATTTAATTTTATATAAAAAATTAGGGTAAAATACATAAATCGTCCCCGATTATAGGATACTACTTTATTAAGTCCCTCAATTATTAAAAGTTTCGAATATTACTTGTTGGGACTATAAAACTTATAAATTGTCCTCGGGACTCAAAATTTCATATATTTTTTAACGGGAAATGACGAATTTGGAATATAACGAATAGTCGGTTGATCATTTTATAACTTTTAATAGTCGAGGGACTCAACAAATTGTCCCCGACTATAGGATATTACTTTATTAAGTCCTTCAACTATTAAAAGTTACAAAATGGTCAACTAGTTATTCATTATTTCCCAACTCATCCTTTCCCGTTTAAAAATATATGAAATTTTGAGTTGAACGTTAACCTGTTGATTGTGATATGGCAAAATCTTATCTCAAAATTTCGAACGACCTATCATATCTTAATCATCGTGTTAGCATCCAGCTTAAACAACCATCAAATTTTAATGGAAAATGATGAGTTAGGAACATAATGAATAGTCGAGTGACTACTTTATAATTTTTAATAGCCGAGGGACATAACAAAGTAACATTCTATAGTCGGATGACTATTTTATAACTTTTAATAGTCGAGAGACTTAATAAAGTAGGATCATATAGTCAGAGATCATTTGCATATTTACTCAAAAATTAATCATTAAATATATTACTAAAGAGTTTATTATTCTTTTCATTTTGAAACACAGTAAAGACTTTATTCTCGATTAATATAATAGAGATATAATTATATTAATAAATTAAATGGGTGAATAATTAAAATATTAATCTGACGAAGAGTGTAGTTCTACACTATTATAAAAGGATCAGTCCCCATTTTATTAATTTTATTTAAAATTTAATGTGTATAATTTATATGGATAAACCACGAAATATGCATAATCGATTGATTAAACAAATTAAAATTATAGAAAAGTTAACCATTAAATATAGGTATCATAAAAAAA